ACGCTTGGCTGATGACTGTGCATTGTGTGCAGTGACGGTGCAAGTCTTACCTGAAGCAAACATATTCTGCGAGCTATCGTTCTTTGGACTAAAATGACTCACCTTTCTAAAGGATCCGAAAAACCGGCCTCAAAAACAGATGGCCTCCGCCTTTACAGCATGCGATTTTGTCCCTATGCAGAGGTAAACATTTTAACGTTCTATGGGTGTTTTGTGTCTTTGCAAGAGTCATCCACCTTTTTACTCGCTTTCTTTGTTTATTCAGGATACTTGTAACACATTCTGCGAATAATTTACTCAGTTATTATCTATTCCATGTCTGTAGAGAGCACGACTTGTGCTTGCAGCTAAAGGAATTGAGCACGAGTGTGTAAACATCAACTTGAAGGACAAACCAGAATGGTTTTTCGAACTGAACCCTGTTGGAAAGGTCCCAGTGATTGAGCTACCTGGAGGAAAGGTCATTTACGAATCTGTGATATGCTGTGGTAAGGGATAAGGTTTTCAAAACTTGTCTACAAGCCTCAAAAAAACCTTACTGAAAACTTATTCAAACTACTGCAACTTCTCGATCTTATGTGATTCTTTCTGCTTGCCTTGACTTCTCTTTTCAGTGTATTTACTCAGAACGTTATTTTTCGATTAAAATAGTGTTTTTTCTTGCTTTTTCTTGGAGAAATTACTCAAGAAGTTATGGAGAGTAGTTAAGATGTTATTTTCGATGACAATAGTGTTTTCCCTCGCAATTGCTTAGCGATGTAAGAATAAGGATGTCATGTGACCAAATAGGACAAAGAAAGATAATGATCTCACTGAATTAATGTTCTGAAATCAATCAAAATATATTATTGCCCCTGCTCATGAATTAAATCTACCTAAAAGTAAAGGTTCGAGTTTGTTTTACTGATATCACAAGCCCAATGGTTCCACCCAGATCAAAATTTGATGGGCCCGGTTGATCAAATTTTCATCCTGCATTGCAGATTCCTGTGCAATAAGGCAAAGAAAAACTGCATCTGTTGTTCGACCCTTTAGTTGTTTCTATCTTACTTTGTTTTTGTTTTGTAAGTGGTTGATTTTACAGTTGCAGTCATGTCACAAAAATAAAATTTCATTTCACACAGAAGACTTCACCACAAATTGGCTTCCATTTGAAATGACTGGCTAACCAAATATGAAACATAGTGTTGTTAAAACAAAAAATGTTGTCTTTGTCTTTCAGATTTCCTGGAAGATATGTATCCAGGAAAGACGCAGTTGTTTCCAAAGGATCCATATGAAAAACATAAACAGCGATTACTGGTTGAAGTTCTGTGTAATAAGGTATACACAAGTTTTGCTAAGCTTACTTACAGAATCTGCTATTACCAAGACAATTTCAAATGTTGATGTCCATTCATTCTTACTGCCTCATTGTGGAATTTTTTCCTTATCCAAAGACAGCACTGGAAGCTGCGGAGTTTTAGAGCAAAAAGTAATCCTCAATTCCTGTTATTTAAGTTGTGTATAAATTTAATTTCTTCCTGGTTAACAAAGCCTAAGCCAATTACTTAATGTTTGCAGATCACATCTGCCTTTTACGAATCTGTACGGGGTGGTGATGAGGCTAATGAGGAGCTGGACAAGCAACTGTCTGCATTAGAAAAAGAGCTCAAAGAGAGGAATACAAAGTTTATTGGAGGTGAGCCCTTGTCAATTATTTTGATTCAGACAGGTTTAAGTAGTATATTACCTGTTCCATTGACCTTAGAGGATACTGATAACATGACAAACTGGTTAATAGTACAAAAAAAATAATTAAATATCCTTATCCCATCCATGCATAGAGGCTAGGGTTTGCTAGTTCCTACTTTCCCCACCCTACCCCTCTCCTCCCCTCCCCGCCGCTCCCAAGTCCTGTAAGACCCCAGTTTTAATTTCTGTAATTTTTGCCATGAAACTTTTGGTTTGAAGTGCTCTTTACTCTTCCCCTCCTTAACTGTTTCACTCTCAAGATCTCGTTAGTAATTCTCCTTACTGTCTGCCATATAATTCTAATAATGTTAGTTTGGAGACTTAAGTATTGTATCAACTAATAATCTCTCAAATTGATATTTTTCTGTATTCTCATCACCTGTCTGCTTGATATTATATTGATATTGTAAGGAGAAATTCTCTCCTGGTCACTCATGGGAGGTAAAGTGTTAATTACGAGGGAAGCTTTTTTAGTTGGGTGATGATGTCAAAATTTCGTGGAATCCTAGTCTTCATGAGGTTTTACTTGAATTTTCTAATGGGACTCTATGTTTTTTTCTCTTCTTCTGAATTGTAATTTCTGCATATTTACCTTTCAGTCTTCATTTGGTTATTCGTGCCAGAAACTCACACAAATGAATTGTACAAGACAGATTCAGGGGGTACAAGATTAGAGAAAAGTTTGCCTTTTTCCACTGCAATCCGTAAAATAGTCTGAATATCAACTGTCCTCTCCCCCTAACCTACAGGGGGTGTGCAAGGGTGCAAGGAATCAGGCAAAAAGGGATGAAGGTCTGTAGAGAAATCCTCATTTCAAAATTATTGTATTTCTTATGTTCCAGGTTCAAGTCCCAGCATGGCAGACTATCTCATATGGCCATGGATTGAACGGCTCCATCTAATGACTAACCACTTTAAGACTGATTTGGGTAAGTTCCCAGTACTCTCAGCTTGGTGCGCGGCCATGAGTGACGTGCCTGCAGTGAAGGAGTGTAGTTATCCAGCAGAATGGTACAATAAATATTTTGAAGGCATCAGCACTGGGAATGCAGAAGCTCAGCTGTATGGCATTGATGAGAAAGCATAAACAAGCTTTCACAAAACCTTCGTATTGTTAACGTTTCTCCTTTCCTGAAATAAAAGGAAAATGGTTTAAAACAATAGTGATGAAAGCATTGAAAATATATACGTCACGCAGTTGTTCATTTGCGCATTTCCTGTTGCCCACTGCTCCATATTCCTATCAGAGACCTGTCAAATGTAAAAATATAAGGTAAAATTTTACGCTCTGATTTTATTGTTACGAGTGCACAGTTGATGAAACGAAACGCCATAGCAAACAGCACGATACTGCGATAGGGACGGCGCGCAGCGAAAAAACGAGGAAGGCCAGGGAACGGTTTCTTACCCGACCCGACGTAAATTTTGGCACGCCTCGGCTACCGCAGCGTTTATCATTGCTCTGTTTTATTAAGGAACGGGCCGTCACACGACCGATCAGACAACGAGATTAATCTTGCTCCTGGGTTCAAACTTTTTTTTACCGATAAAGAGTACTTACGTCATGCGCATGCACGTCTGTATCTTGTTTCCTGTTGCTATATACTCCATGTATGCGGGGTCTGTAAAATGTAGAATGCGAGATTTTTAATTCTGAATAAAACGACATGTAACGGGAAGATTTTGCACGTTTACTGACAACTGTTTAGCGGCTTTTTCAAATTTTTGCCTAACATTTGACGTCGAATTTCAAGGCGTCGGGCGAAAATATCATTCATTTAACTAATTTTTATTTAAAGTACCACATTTGGTCAAAGTAAAATATCAACTTGAGAGTTCTGATATTGCAATGTTCCTCCCGCATTGACGAGCTCGCTGTTTTTATTTGTTCTACTCATCCAAAGAATTGACATTGTCAATGAACTCAGTACGTAATGTTCTGTTGTCTCTAGAGCTACCCAGTGGCCATTGTTGCATTTCCTCGCTGTAAAGGATCATCTCAAATATGTTAGTCTCGCTTCATTTAATGATGCTGGAGGAGATTTCATATCCATTTTTACTATATTGGGTGGCCTATCAAGAGCGTCGAGAAAGAATCTAAGAATGAAAAAAAAAAAAAAGTATTTCAAAGAACAAATATTTTGACGAACAGAGCTACGATTTACTGAGACCCAGAAATCTACAGAACGATCCATGGTAACTTGAGTGAGTGAATTTGTTGTAAATTTGCTTTGATGTACCTCTTGTTCATAGTTTTTATGATCACTAAAAATTATGAAATTTTCTTTATTACTTTCGTTGAACTTCGAGAGGAGTCGTTAATTTACCCCTCTCTGAATGCTGGTAAAAAATAATTTGGTAATATCAACTAAGTTGAAATTGTAAATTGGCCACCGTGAAGAGTTAAAAAGCTGACGTTTCGAGCGTTAGCCCTTCGTCAGAGCGAATGGTATAAAATAGACGCGTGGCTATTTCACACCTCCATCTATTAGCGCCAATCATCAAAAGGTGGCGGCATTGGTGGCAAAAGTTCCAAGGACCACTACTTGATGCCAAGGCCGCTGTCTAAGCCTACACATGCTATTTGTATTAAAGGGGATCTCTTAAGCTTTAACGAATCTTACGAAACTTCTGTCATTGTCTAACATCCCAGTGGAAACTTCTGTCAGTGTGGCGATTAAGAGAGAATAAATAAGAAAGAAACTCGGAAATGAAAAAGCAAAAGAAAACTAAATGCTTTGGCATTGTGCTGGCGATTCAAGATTTTGAGTACACAACTTATTGCAAGATGTTTTTATCTTCATGTTTTTTTTACGCAAGTCCGGAATGGAGCTGTCTTCATCAATGGACTCCAAGCTGTTTTAAAAGGAACATAACCTATTGAGAATTTTTTCTCTATAACTCTTTTGTGGGTCGTCAAATAGCGACGCAATCTTTGCGTTTGAAAAGCCATATTAAGATAGCCTTTTGATTCGTTGGTGTTTTGTTGCCTTTATTAAATAATATGGCTCGTGGTTGTATTCTCTAATATCAAGTTGACAAGGCGGAAGTTTATTGACTGACGTCAACCAAAGTAAAGCATTCTATTGAGGTCCAGTTTCTGCGTGTGCACCAGTCTAGGGAGTAGCTAACTCATGTCCTGTAATACTAAGTAAAACTTGCTACATGAATGACTGTTCAAAATGCAATGTAAAGAAAAATTTTCTATATTATATGTTAATTGCCAACTTGAGGTTTAAACTGAACTCACTGTGCGGCTGATATAGGTAGGAAATTGAATGAATTTCTTTTTAAGTAGCACTCTGCTATACTTAGCAACAAGCTGCCAAAATTAAACAGGAGTTTACGAATATTAACAGGGACAATTCAATTTAAAACGGGAAAAAAAACGGACGGATTCATTCAGAGCTTTGTGTTCTGATAGATTATAATTAAATCAAGGATTCCTGTAGAGGGTATTTCATTTTATTTTTCAATGTCCGCTTTATCTACATTCACTATCATTCGAATCCTGGAACAAATTCCTTACACGCGAATTTCAAATTTCAGCCCGCTTATGAACTTCGCCCATTTCAAGTACTTCTGTCAAGGACCGATCAGGAAACGCCGCGTGACGTCATTCTATACCCATTCTTATATGAAGTCAGCGACGTAAACATTTTTATCACCTGGACATGAAAACAAAACGTGAACACCGCACAGCTGAAGTGGATATCCAACATCATGAAGAGCAGAAATTCTCTTTCGGGCTTTCTTTTCATAATTTCTTTACAATCTTCAATGATTCCAGTGGCAAAATTCTCGCCGGATGAAGTTTCTTCAACTGATTTTAGTGCACCTCCTGGTCACTTAGAGCCGCTCGGATCTCAAAATGTGAAACATTCTCTTGAAGTTATCAACGACTTCTTAACTCCTATTGAGTTTTTCAAAAACTACGTATACCCCATCAAACCTGTCTTGATACGAGGGGGAGCAAAAATCTCGCCGGCTTTGACTAAATGGACGGACGAATATTTCCTCTCTTTACCAGAATCAAACGACTTTAATGTTACTGCAGAACAAAGAAAAAAAGAGATTCGAACATTCCCTGCCTACGATGTGAGCTTTAAGGAGTTTGTGTCAACGTACAGAAAAGAGGATATTTACATGGTGAATGGTGTTCCTCCTTTCTTGCAGTAAGTAAAGTTTGTTCTTACTTTGTTGAACTGACCAGGGGCGGATATAAACAGTTAATTCTGTATTTGCATAATTTTCTTCGACGGGTGTTAATCGTAAACTTCATGGTGTATTTCACAATTAATTGTTTTATTAAAAACGTTGAATTAAATTATTAAATTTTATTAAATTTTTAGCTCCCTTTTAATTTTAAGCTGACACGTATGCTTGCCATATTTGTAGATTATGGTATATTGGCTGATATACCATAATGGCTAAGCCAATAAAAAGTCTTGAATTGCATTATCCAATGATCNGTTGGCTATAATCATCTCATATCCAACAAGCGAGAGTGGAATAATTGTTTTATTAAAAAAACGCCCCCAAGATATTAGACAAATCTTCTCGACTTTATTTTGTGAGAAGAAACCGGATTTAACAATGTACAGAAATTAGATTATGGTATATTGGCTCATATACCATAATGGCTGAGCCAATAAAAAGTCTTGAATTGCATTATCCAATGATCCAGTTTTTAATAATAACTATTATTAAAAACTGGATCATTGGATAATGCAATTCAAGACTTTTTATTGGCTCAGCCATTATGGTATATGAGCCAATATACCATAATCTAATTTCCGTACATTGTTAAATCCGGTTTCTTCTCACAAAATAAAGTCGAGAAGATTTGTCTAATATCTTGGGGGCGTTTTTTTAATAAAACAATTATTCCACTCTCGCTTGTTGGATATGAGATGATTATAGCCAACTCGGCGCTAAGTGCCTCATTGGCTATCTATCATCTCATATCCAACGCGCGCTTGTGGAATAATTGTTAATTATGAGTTTAAAACTGTATCATCAGTGAACTCCAAAATATCAAATACAGCTGATGCTGTGCCTTTAAGACTTAATAACTATTTCCAGATTAAAAAGGAAAACATTTTGTTAGGTTATATATAATTTTATAACGTTCACAGTTTATAAATGACGTACCTTTTTATGGTGATTTGTCTGAGGTGGCCTAGGTTGAGACCAATAACTAAATAAAATTTCACACATAATTTACAATTGCATTAAACAAGAGAAATTATACATGGTATGGTCCTGAGTATACTGAGTTTAAAATGTTGTGTAGAACTCTTTATTTCAAAAGATTCTGAATTTAGATTGAAGTCTGCAGATGTTGCAGAATGATGTTATCACTTTCTTATTGTTTATCAACTAGGAGGACGGAATCAATATTTAATATCCTGGGGTTACACTCGTGATTTAGAATGCATATTTGCTCCTTAGTATTTTCTCATATTACTCCATTATTATAGGAAAAGAATCACTTAAATTTTAGTTTGTAAGAATAATTAGAGAGTTGATTTTATTGTACAAGAGTTGTTGAATTTGAATGATTGACTTTTAATGCAGGAAAGATGTTATGTTACCTCCCCCACTCTTATGTAATGATATTGTGAAGGACAAGTTAATTGACACGGTTAGTCAACGTGCAATGTATTAAATTCACTAATAGATTTGAAGCCTTCTTAGAAAAGCACTAATAAAGCCTGGATCATAAATTTTTATCCAAGAGTGAAGACTGGATTTAATAAGTTTCTTACACATGTCGATTTCTTCATTGACTTTGTTGCTTTTTGTATTTAGTGTGTAATTCTTTTGTTTATCATTTTGTGTGTTTGTGCAATCTTTTCCTTTCATTGTTGTAAATCACCAGGTGATGTGGTTCAGTAGTGGTGGCACAAAGTCAGTCTTACATAATGACGATGTTGACAACATCAACTGTTTGTTCAGTGGAACCAAGGAGCTTTTATTCATAGACTACAAAAAGTACAAAAAACAGGTGTGCTTGGCAACAATTTAAGTCTTTTTAGGGGCTGTTTTGTTTGTAAAAAGATTGTCACCTATTCCAGGGTTAGAAAAATTTACTGTGACATTTTTTCTCCTTCTGTTTATAATTATAAAAGATGGAGAGGCATTTTAAGCCTTTAATTAGAACTGTTTCAGACTGTTTTATTAAGACCCAGTTTAACTTCTTTTAATCCTGTATTAGTGCCAAATGTCATTCAAACACCTAGCCTTGGAAATCTGCATTTAGTTTTTAACAATTTACAGCATATAGTCATGTTTTCAGGTTATAATTACCAGTAAATATTGCTCTTTTGTGAGGTCTGAACCATGCAGTATTGTTAAAAGGCTTTTGTTTCCTTTACTGGTAAGGTTCCAATAGATTTCCCCTCTGGTGGCTATTCTGGTGTAGATGTTGATCGGTAAGATAATAACAATATCATTTCGAAGTTCATCACTGTTTTTGTCATGAAGTGGTATTATAATTTTCCTACATGGTTGTGTATTGGAGGTTGCACATGACTGTTTTTGTGATGTTAAACTTAAAACTTGCTCACATTTTGCAACTGATCATAAGGGACTGTCTATACTAGAAGCAAAATTGATTTCTCTGTATCATTTGCAAGGTGATCTTTGTCCAAACAAAAAAGAAATAGAAGAAGTATAATGGATAGCTCTGAAAACAAATGCTTGACTGTTTAATGATTATAATAGAAATTAAGTTAAATTCCTTGTTTTCCCAATTTTTTTTTTTTGAAAGTCTGGCAATATCATTTATCCAGCCAAGAGATGAATGGAAGGGTTTTGAAGGAAGGAATTAGCTCCATAACAGAGCATGTTAAGAGGTTGAACTGAAAGAGAGGCCTTGGAGAGCATAACTGTGAATGCTACCTTTTCAGTGTTGATAAAATCTTTAAGATTCAATTGCTTTAAAGTTGCTTTGATTTGTTTCAGGGTTGATTTTGTTAAGTACCCCAGTCTAGAAAATGTAGAGTACTTTAATGTGACAATGGAACCCGGTGATTGTTTGTTCATTCCTTACAAATGGTGAGTTTTGTATATTTGAATAATCATATATTGTTTTGCGCTGTTTTGTAAATTTGCTTTTTATTGAGGTCAAGTTGGTTTTATTACAAAATAATATCTTAAAAGTACATGGCATGAAAAAAGCTACTTTTAGGAGTAATGTTGATTAAGCTTCATGCTACAGAAAGGGGATACTGATTCAAACTACAGTATGGCTGAATGGGCCACTAAGCTTGAATGCAGACTTTAAGGAAGTTCTTCAGAAAGTCTACAAGTGGAGGGAATCTTATGATTCTCAAATGAAAGACAATATTGTAAAGGAAAGTATAATGTTCTAATGAAACTGGAATTTTAATAGTTTAAGCTAGGGAACTCTAAGGGTTAAAATTAAAATGGGTTTATAAGAATATTTCACTGAATATCTAGGAGATATTCATCAGTCTTGATTTATATTTAACAATTATTAGCTGAAGGCGAGGGTGAATATCATCAAATAATCCCCTCTACTTCGTCTCGGGGATTATTCTACATTTTAACCCACCCATTTATTTTGGCGCGATTTTATTGGTTACTTTAGGTCATGTGGTGTAAAATCACAGGACAGTTATCACACAATAACCCCCATCTGTGTGC